AGAAGAGTTAGATATGGGAAGAGGCGTGATGATAACTTGGGAAGCATCAAGGTGAAAATTTCATCATTCCAAGGCGACAACGATCTTGAAGCCTATTTGGAGTGGGAGAAAAGGATGGAATTGGTGTTTGATTGTCATAATTATTATGAATTGAAGAAGGTAAAGTTGGCTACCATTGAATTTACTGATTATGCTATTGTGTGGTGCGATCAACAGGAGGAGAAACGGAGAGCATCTCATTAAGACTTGGGAAAAGATGAAAGCGCTTATGAGAAAATGTTTCATTCCGAGTCACTATCACAGGGATTTATTTTAGAAGTTGCAAAGTCTTTCTCAAGGTTCCAAAAGTGTTGATGATTATTTTAAAGAGATTGAAGTAGCTATGATCCGGGCTAATGTGGAGGAAGACCGAGAAGCAACTATGGCTAGGTTTTTACACGGCTTAAACAAAAATATTGTTGATGTGGTTGAGATGCATCATTATGTGGAGTTGTCGAATATGGTACACACGGCCATTAAAGTGGAGCAACAACACAAATGGAAGGGGGTTTCTCGGAGGGCGCAAAACTTGTTTTCATCAACATGGAGACCAAGTGGAAGCAAAAGAGAGGACTAGCCCCATCACAAGCCCAAGGCCGAGCCATCCAAGGACAACAAAATTCGCAACACTCAAATACAGGGAAAAGCCGAACCTACACCTTCTAGAAATATTAAATGCTTTAAGTGCCAAGGCAGGGGTCATATTGCTAGCCAATGTCCAAACAAGCAATTGATGATCATGAACACCAATGGAGAAATCGGGTCGGAAGATGAAGAGGAGGAAGATACCATGCCGCCTTTGGAGGGTGCATATGATGCGGAGTATCCGGTGGAAGGAGAACTTTTGGTTACAAGAAGAGCTCTTAGTGCACAAAGTAAAGAAGAAGAAGAGATACAATGCGAAACCTCTTTATACTTGATGCTAAGTTAAAAACAAAGTTTGCCGCATGATCATTGATGGCGGGAGTTGCACCAATGTGGTCAGCACTAAATTAGTGGAAAAATTGGCGTTGACAACGTTGAAACACCCTCAGGCATATAAGCTATAATGGTTGAATGATTGTGGAGAAATCAAGGTGACAAGGCAGGTGTTGTTGGCGTTTTCCATTGGGAAATATGAAGACGAGGTGTTGTGTTATGGACAAATTGAAGTAGTTAATAGGACTTTGCCTACTTTATTATGTGCTATAATTAAAAAGAATTTGAAAACATGGGAAGAATGTTTACCACATGTTGAATTTACTTATAATAGAAGTATACATTCTGCTACTAAATTTTCACCATTTGAAATTGTGTATGGTTTTAATCCATTGACTCCTTTGGATTTAACTCCTTTACCTTTGAGTGAACATGTTAATTTAGATGGTAAAAAGAAAGCTGAATTTGGTCAAGCAAATTCATGAGAAGACACAGCTAAACATAGAGAGGAGAACCGAACAATATGCTCACCAAGCAAATAAAGGACGCAAGAAAGTTGTGTTCGAGCCTGGTGATTGGGTTTGGTTGCATTTGAGGAAAAAAAGGTTCCCAATTCAACGGCGTTCCAAACTACTTCTAAGGGGAGATGGTCCATTTCAAGTGCTCGAGAAGATCAATGATAATGCCTATAAGCTAGATCTTCTAGGTGACTATAATGTAAGTGCAAGTTTTAAAGTTGTTAATTTATCTCCTTATGATGCAGATGAAAATTTGAGGACAAATCCTTTTCAAGGAGGAGGGAATGATGAGAATATAGCAGCACCAACAAAGGATCCATTGCAGATACCCAATGGGCCAATTACAAGAACAAGAGCTAAAAGGTTCAAAGAAGCACTCAATGATTTAATTCAAGAACTTTAGGCTGATTCTAAAAAGGTGGAGCCAAATATGAGTCCAAATGATGCACAAGCATTAGTCCATGTCATCAAAGCTATTGAGAAGGCTGAATAGAAGACTTGGGCGTGAAGCAAGCTTCTTGGGCGTGTGGCATGTAGGCTGATTTCCTAAGGAGCAGTTTCCTTGTTTCCTATTTTTAAGTTTCATTTTCTTTAGTTAATCAGTTGTCAGTTTTATTATATTTCCTTATTTGGATATCATTTAGTTTCCTAATTGTAAAGGCGTTATTGCCAAAAGGTAGTTTCCCTTTTCTTGTTTTAGGCGTGTAAGGCAGTTCAATTGCCTAATTATTTTGTTTCCTTTTATTTAGGGGTGCTGAATGTGTAGGGGATGTTCTCAGCCTATTTAAAGGTGTTTTAACACCCAAGCAAGCAGACATTATTTTTATGGAGATTGAAATAATATTTTAGTGAGAGAGTTTTCCTCTTTAATTCCTTAAAGAACTTTCCGAACTTATCAATGATTCCTTGTGGCATTCAAAACCATACTTATCACTCTTCAATTTTTGTTCTTGATTATTCTCGAGTGTGGCATCTATCTTAACATACATTTGGTTCTTATCTTCCATAGATAACGGGTCAAGGTTTACCAAAAGAATCTATTATTTGAAGATCCTAGATTTTTTTTTAATTCCAATTTTGATTTCGGGTTTCACCATCCTTAGTGAGGTTCATATCACTTCTTCTTCCATTGTTTGTTTGTTTGTTTCTTTTTTTTTTTTCTTGGTAATGGGAAGCTGTTGCGGGTACAATCTAAGAACAGGCTATGCTTTGTGATTATTGATATTTACATGGAATTATTGATATTTACATGGAATTGGAAGGGTCATGTGAAGAAACAATAAAGTGATTTTAGATTTTGAAAGTCATTAGTTTGAGGGTATATTAATAAAAATAAGTGTTAAATTAAAAGTGATGAGTTGACACATGAGGTGAATTGACATATCACTTGTCATATAGGTTAGTACTTAAAAATTAGTTTTTATGTTGGTGTCTCTAGCATTATTTAATTATCAATATTAATGACAAAGAAATTACAAAAGAATAATATTAGGGACAACAACGCAAAACTCAGTTTTTTGTACTCTTAATTTTTGAGTATCAATCTACATGGTATATGATGTATCATTGCCAACTCATCACTTTTAATTTAATTCTTACTTTGCTAATAAATCTCTAAACCAAACATGACTTTTTAAATTCACAACAAATTAATTTATTTTCTCTTCCAACATGACGTTTCAATTCCACTTAATGCTAGACATCACGAGATATCACATTTTGTTACTTTTTTGCACAGCTACTTTCCAGCACCGAGGAAAAAAAAAAGAGAAACAAACCAAAGAAACCCAGAAGTTACAATGAACGAAGCACATCAATGCAAAGTTAGCATTTTCACATTTTCCTTTTTTTTTTTTAGCTTTATGTCCTTTGTTGAATCCATATGCATTAAATCCTTAAAATACCCGTCTTCAGAACTTCTAATGGAGCTTCTCTTGCGTTGATGGCAATACCCATCTTCAGAATTTCTAATGGAGCTGTACTTTGTTCTTCTGTGGCTCTTGGATTCTTGGCACTTGGGAGAGCTGGTTTTGCAGTGAATCACATGGATATTGCTCCAAGATATGCAGGGATAGTGATGGGGGTTTCAAATACTGCTAGAATTATCGGATTTGATTTAAGTGGCAACCTACTGGAAGCTGCTAGAGCCGTCGATTCCGATCTTTCTAGTGTGGAAAGTTGGAAAGTGGTGTTTTTTTATACAGAAGTTTTTCTGCATTTTTAGTTCCGTTGTATTTGTTTGCAACAGGGGAGAGGATTTTTGACTGAGATACACAAGTTTTGAGATACAAAAGCTTGGCGTTTGAAATTGAAAGGTCACTTGCATAAATTATTGGAAATTTTTTTGAAGTAATCAGCATGAAATTAGTCGGTGGCTATTGAAAAGTCATGTTGATTTAGGGGCTCATTAGCAAAATAAGAAAAATTAATGTTTTTAATATTAATTTATATTTCACTTTTAATGTATCTTAATAAATTATATTCAGTATGTAACATAATAATGTTTAATTAAAATTATTAAAAATTAATTAATTACTATTTTTTTAAAAATTGAAAAAAAAATTTATTTCATTTTTTTGCGACGATTTTTTTATACTTGTCGTCGCAAAAAAGGAAGATTATTTGCGACGACATTTTGAAATTTGTCGTCGCAATAAATATTATATCACGAGAATTTCACAACGGCGTATTAGAGACGCTTGTCGTCGCAAAAAAAATATATCGTCGCAAATATATTTGCGACGACACTGTGGCGTGGCAAAAAAAGTTTTTGCGACTAATTTTTTGCGACGACATATCGTCGTCAAAACGATTATTTGTGACGACACTGGGGTTTTTGCGACGACAAAAAGCCGTCGCAAAAACCCCTTTTTCTTGTAGTGATATTGAACGTAAAAACTTATATAACATCAAATATTAGCTAAAAGGCGCCTAAGCAGATCCATGTTTAGACACTGCGAGTCAAAACTAATTAGATAAGATAAGATTCAAAAAATATATATAATATGCTAATAAATAGCATGGATAATTTTTTTTTCCTTTACTAGCGACCTACTTATGATAGAATATTAGAATTGAATAGTATATATTTATCTAAAAAATGAATAAAATATAAGTTATTAAAGTGCTTAAGAATTTTCCTCTACAAAAAAAAAAAATAATAAAAACAAAAATAAAATCTCCCGGGAATTTTTCGAAGAGATTCGACTCCTGATATTTTTCCAAGTAATCAAATCCTGATACACTTCCAATAAAAGTTTCATAATCCTACTAAAACTCCATAACGTCGTTCTTTGCCTATATAGATTCGACTCACTCATATATATATATATGTGTGTGTGTGTAAAACATATGTGAGATATATATGTAAAACATATATTATCTCACATCCTTATTCGTTAAACACAATTACCTCTCCTGATCCTTAGCCCAAAAGAACAACAAATAAAAAAACCCTAGACCTCCTGATCATTAATTATTTCACCTTCTTGATCAACCGTTCACCGTCCAATATTAATCCTCATCATGGACTACCGTGCCTTTGACATCAATCTCGCGTCCTTGGAAGGCCTAAAATCCCAAAAATTCTCGCTCTTCAAGATCAAATACTACGCCGTCGTCACGCTCGTCGCCACCTCGATCTCCCGCCAAAAGTCCCGGCTCGGGAAGAGCCACGAGGGCGGAAAGTGCCACATATGGAATCATCCGATGAGATTCTACGCCAACGAATCGAAACTCCAACAGAACTCCATTATGCTGATGGTTCAGATCCGGAGGAGACGTGCCTTTTGTATGGACAAGGACGTAGGAAAAGTCTGCGTCCCTCTTAAGCAGCTATACGACAAAAGCCTCTCCCAAAATGGTAACAATATTAATAACGTTGGTGCTTATAGGGTTGTCACGGCTTCAAGAAAGTACAAGGGCTCTCTGTGCTTCTCGTTCACGTTCAGTAATGAGTTTAGAAGGGCGGTTAGGAAGAACAGCGGAGAAGACGGCTCATCGACGCTACGACGGTCGGTGGCCCGTCGGCATTCGGTTTCCCCGTCGGCGCCGTACGTAGGAACCAACCCTGATGACGACTTTTTGTTTCTTACTATGTTTAGTTAATTTTCTGGAAATAATATATATATATATATATATATATATGTATATATATGTGTGTGTGTGTGTGCAGGTTTTCAAAGTACTGGATAGTAGTAGTTCAGAATTATGATCATGAGCAATAGGAATCATACTGATAATATTCAAACAAGGGATATATATATATATATATCATCTTCCTCTTTATATAATCTTGCGCCTGAGTTTTTCCTTCTTTTTTTCGAACTTAATACTCAAGTGATTGATATATAGAATTGTGCATATACTACTGCAGGTAATTCTAATTCTATAATTAGCTATTGATAGGGAAAAAAGCAAACGTTTTCGATTCATTAGGGGTTGTAACTTGTACATAAAGCAATTGTTAGTTCAAGTGTTCAACCATGGAAACGAACTCAGATAAAATAGATAGTAATCCAATGGATAAACACAGAATAAGATAATCTCAAATTTTGTGAATAAAAGGCAAAAGAGATTAAATATTTATCTAAAGAAAAATATTTAAGATTAAATTTATATCTCGCGCTGGATTAACAATGCGCTGGTTTATCTCAATAATAATAATAATAATAATAATAATAATAATCATCATCATCATCATCAAATAATAATAATAATCATCATAATATTAAGAAGAAGAATGACGACGACAACAACGCGTCTGATCATGCTTTTTTTTTTTTACATTTAAATAAAAAGTACTACTTAAAAGGGGACTATTGATTTTACATTTAATTTTTCTAACTTTTTTCTTTTTTTTTTCTGTAAGGAGTTTTAGGGTTCCTTGATTAATGTAAAATTTTAGATTAATTACAAAAAACTCCTTCTAAGCTATACCACTTATAACACATCTTAATATTTGAAATGTAAGATACGTTCTCCATGAACAATGAAATGTTTATAAAAAAATCCCCCTTTGTTAGATTATTTTAATGAAAATTGTCATTTAATTTGTTATTTTGAGGTATTTTGGTAGCTCTATGATTTAAAATTTAATCGGAATTTAAAACTTATTTAAATTTAAACTTTTAATTATAATACATCCATTATTAATTGAATGTAAGTTGAAAATTTTATGAATCTCTTTTTTGATAGAATAAAAATAATATATGAGGTTTTTTTAATATTTAAATTAGTTTAAATTCAAACTAAATTTTAAATCATAAAACTACCACAATATCCTAAAATAATAAATTAAATGTCAATTATCGTTAGTTAACATTTTGGTGACGTTTGTTCCAATAGTTATGTCTGGTTTAGAATCATTCTTGGTTCTACTATAGTGTTTTTCTCTTACAAAAAATTTAAATTATAAAAATCAAAATCATAAATCATGATTTTGAACTATGAACCAAACGTCACTTTCATTATTCAAGAAGAACCGATGTTATGTTTTAAAGATCATGAACAAAGTGTTATAAGAAGTATAATTCAAAAGTGATTTTTATAATTAATTCAAAAAATTTTAAAATCTGTGTTCGAAACGAAATACAATAATATATTGTCAAAGACAACATGGAAGATAGCACTCATCAAATTAAATTTTTGCTTGAAACCAGTATATCAAGTTTTTTATTCACGAGAAAAAGGGACAAGAAAGGAATAATCCTTGCAAGTTGTTTATCTACCGTACAATAAAAGCCTCAGCAGGCAAGTGTCATGAATTTTTTTTTTCTTTTATTACCCTTTTTCTTTTTCAGTTTTTACTTTCTCGCTTGTTTGTTATATATTATTTATCTCTTATGCAGTTGTCAATTAATTTTTTTCTTTTACGTTTATGCTCTTCACATTTCTACTTTTCACTTACTTGTTATTAACTCTTTTCTCTTATTTCAAGTTTAAGAAAAATCGGTTAATTTTTATTTCTATTTATCCCTTTCGTTTTTTATAATTTTTACTTACTTGTTATCTAATGTTTTCTCTTATTTAGACTCAGGCTCTAATCGCTTCCCTTCTATTGACTTCGTAGGATGGAGTACTTATTTCCTTGAGTTCATCCCTCTCTGTTGGGCGGATTCTTTGAATAAACCTCTTTCATTTTACCTCTTGTCTGAGTCTTTTTTTACCTTGGTTAGCTTCATATTCAGCCAGTGTGCCTCACATCGAGAGAGATATCATAGATAAGATAAAGAATAAAGAAGAGCTTATCTCTATTCTTTATCTTATCTATCTAGATTTATTCATTTTTTAAAAAACTGAAAGGAGTTAATAAGTTCGAATTTATATACATATGATTTCGATATATTATATACATATGATTTTGATATATTACTTTTAATGGGTTTGAAATTACTTTGGTTCTTTGTATTTAATAAATATTACATGACCAAATAGTTCAAAGAAGGGTGCACTGTAGGGAGGGTCCTTTTAAGTAGATGACCCGTCGGGCCGGCTACTAGAATCCTCTGCTTGAGAACTGGTTACTCTCGTCGCAATTATTACTAAAAGCAAGGGATATTCACTCAACAGAAAAGGCCTCTTTGACTTCTTAACTTTTTACCTGTATTACTTGTATTCCTTCTCTTACTAGCCTAATTTGAATATTTCTTTATAAAAATGACAAACATTTTCTACCTCCCACAAATGCGTTACGCTTAATACCACTTAATTAAAGACTCGTTGGTTCACAAGAGTTCAGAAAGCCTTTAACAAAGACCTTTACACAATAGGGCAAGCCCTAAATGAGTAAGGTCAAACTAAAGGCCTCAGATTCTCACGAAAGCCTTTGATAATCATAAGAATAACCAGATCGTTATTCAGCCTTTAGATGAAGAGACGTCTACCCATCCAACTTTTAATCTCTCTCCAATGGCAACTAATAAAGCTAAATAAGCACTCTTGACAGAACAATTGTATTGAGATTTCGAGTACTGATTTGATCGTTCATGATGAGTTTAAGAAAAAATGGTTTAATTTCTATTTCTATTTATACCATGCCCTTTGTCGTTTGTACTTTTTACTTACTTGTTATCTACTCTTTTCTCTTACTTACAATTTAAGAAAAAATGATTTATTTTTTTGTTTTCATTTATAATCTTCACTTTTTGTATTTTTTACTTACTTATTATTGTTGGGAATAGTATCCTAGAAGCATAAGATGTAATAGAATATTTATTATTTAATTAATAAAAGAGTTTATTCATCATTTTATGTGCATATATTTATGAATATTTTATGAATATCAAATGAAAATTATGTGATTATTTATGTAACCTTAAACATAGTATATAAGTGTTATATACGAGAGGATAGTGTTTAAGGATAATAATCAAAAAACATTGTTCATAATGAATTTAATTAAAGTTCAGAATCTTTAATTAAAACATTATTAATACATGTCATCCCATTTAGAATGGAACGGTGCTATCCGCACTGTTAATATGGTGAGATATTGAATGAGTGTATTTCGCATAATGAGATTGTGTGGAACAGGGACACAGACACAATATGAATTTCTAATAATTTCCGTTAAGTATAGAAATTCTAATTGAGTCTACCGATGGTCATATATAGAATGATCTTAATCCTGAGTTCTTAACAAACTCCTATTTATGGATTTGTGTCTTTTGATTTACTCGGTACGGATTCTGAGATCCTGAATCCTATTCCTTGTATTTTGGAGACATGATGAAGTAGGTAGCCGGGAATGTTATTACACAAGATGGAATCCATTCCTTCTTAAGAAATAAGTAGATAAATAATTCTCTTGAGGGTTGA